CCGGCCCGCAGCCCCCCCAGCCCCCACACCCCCAGCCGCCCCCCCAGGCCACCGCCAGTCACGTGCGTCCTCCCAGCCACTTGGTTAACCCTCTAATCCCAAATCCTGCCCCGCCGGGGACACTTTCCCGAGTGGGTCAGATCCCTTCATCCTCAAGGCAGGGGCCGCAGGGGGAGCCGTGCTCCCCCCTCCCCGCGCTCCCAGCGTCTCCCAGCTACAGGAAATGCCCAGGGCATTTCTTTGATTTCAAACTTCATCCCCCACTGCTGGTAGCAGCAAGAAATACCAGGCAGGGGAGAAACTTCCATTTTCCGGCACTCTCTGGGTTTATTTCCCCTTCATAAGCCCTACAGGGTCCATCTGTAGCCTTTCCCTCCCCAAAGGCAGGGCTGAGGCCTGGGACACGTTGTTTCGGTGACCCTGGGGATGCAGGGATGACCCCAGGATGTGGAACAGGATCCCGCAGTGTCCCTGGAGCAGGCGCTGCTGTGGGTGCTGCTCACTCCCTGCACCAGGGGATCCCATCCCGCTCCCCCTGAGTCCCTCTTGATGCTTCCACACCCCAGGATTAGGATCCCCTCATCCCAGCATCCCGAGTCTGGCTCTGGCATCAGGCACTGCTGTGGAACTGAGTGGATCAGAGCTTGCCTGCACTTCTTCATTCTCCTTTTTTTTCCCCCTGCATTTTTCTCCTCTTCTCCCCAGGGCTGGGGGTTTGGCTTGGCTGGGGGAGGATACAGCTTTGGGGGTGTTTGTGTGCAAAATGAGGGGAAAGATGTGGAATTCAAAGGCTCGGAGAAGGAGCTAAATAAGGGGCCTGGAGAACTAAGTGGAAATCTGGGCTGAGGGGTGAAGTTTTACCCCTCCATTTGCTGTTTTCCCCTGTGCACAACACTTAGAGTTCATTCTTGGGCATCACTTCTTGCTCCAGGTCTATAAAAACATCACCTGCAGGGATGGGGGTTGTGGGGAGGGGATGAGCTGCATGTGAGCAGTGAGGAGGTGGAGAGGAACCCGGCAGATCCCAGGTGTGTGATGTTAGACAGCACAACAAGGGGATAACACCGACCATAAATAACATTATTGCTTTTATTGGTGCCAGGGCAGGACTTTGTTATCCAGGCACACTGAAAATCTGGAATCACAAGAAAATCTCCTTTCAAAGAGTTTGTGATATAAATATGTCACCTCTGTGTCTTGGCTGCAGGAGTGATGGATTTGTGCTGTAAATCACGGCTGGTTTTTCCAGCCCCTGCTCAGGGAAACTGCATTTGTGAGAAAATGCTGGGTTGTGATCCTGGGCTCAAAATTAATCTTTCAGAGTCCTGTGGGGGGCTGGCTCTGCACAGAGGGCTCTGAGGGTGCAATTCCCCATCTCTGCCCACCCTTTTAATGCCCACAGTGCTCCCTGTGCATCCCTCAGCCTTCCCTGATTCTTTCCCTTTGTAGCAGCTGGAACTGCCAGGATTTTCCCTGTTTGACTGTCCACAGCTCCCGGGGTGCTGTAAATTACGGCTAAATAGGGACTGGGAGGCCTCTGGCTCACAACAGGTCATTAAATATTATTAAACATAACATAACTCCTGGAAAGGATTGTGAGTTTTAAGGTTGCTCTCCCAGTTTTACTGCTGGAATTTGAAGGAATTAAATAGCAGAGGGATGAGTCTATCCACGTGTGCTGGGGCACACAGCTTTAGGATCTGCTGCTTTTCCAGGCTGGAGAGATTGCTGGGACCCTCCTGGAGAGGTCTTGGGCAGGTGGGATTTGGAATGTTTGGAGCTGAAGGCAGCATGAGGTTTGTGAGGTTTTTGGGGGATTTGTGTTGGTTCCTGGAGCTGCTGAGGAATTTGGTTCCTCCAGTGGGCAGGGATGAGCACCAGGACCTCCAGGATCCCCTTCTGAACCTGCTACCAAGCCTCTGCCCTGTTCTCTGTGTGTGTAGAGCCAGAGCAGGGTGCCTCACTCTCCTGGATTTGGGAATGTATGTGTTGGGTGCTTTGGGATCAGGGAAAAGCTGGGAAGTGGCTGCCCCTTCCTGGGGCAGCATGGGCGGGCACCAGTGTGGGACTGACTGGGGTGGGGAAGTCCCTGTGGTGCTCCTGACGCTCACTGGGGTTCATTTTCCATGGATCAGCTCATTTTTGGGCAAAGAATGATCCCACCAACTTGAAAAGCTTCCAGGAGAAACTTCTCACAACGTCAGTGTCCGACTCCATCCCCGTAAGGGAAAGAGCTGCTCTTGGATTGAAATGACCTTTTGTGGCTCAGTTTTAATTGGATCTTCCATCAAATGAGCCTCACCACAGAGCCACCGAGCGTGGCAGGGGGACTCTGATGGGATCCTCTGGTTTTGCTTTGTCTCTTGCTTGCTGGGAGGGTTTTTTTCCTTCCTCTTCGCATCCCGTTTGCTTTCCGTCCATCTCCAGCCGTCCCAGGGAGCTGCCTGCCCTCCCCTGGGAGCGCGGGATGTCGCAGAAGAGCCCTGCAGGGGGCCGGGAGGGTTTGTGGTTTGTCGGAACATCCCTTCACAGCCAAGACTTCGCAGCCTTACCCAGAGCCTTGGGAATGCTGGTGGGGGATGGAGCAGTGCCTGGTGCACAGGGAATGCCCTTCCCCTTCCCCAGGGTCACATTTCCCCTCCCAGCTGAGGGTCAGGCAGTAGATGAGGACCAGCAGCCGACATCCCGGTCCAGCTTTTCCTCGAGGGCACTTGGGTTTTATTATTTTGGCAGTTTAGGAAGGAAGTTTATTATTTTGGCAGTTTGGAAAGTTTGGGAAGAAGGCCCATTCCTTTTTCCCAGGAGGAAAAGTGATGGATTCCTCTGGAGAGCAGGGAGGCAGCTCAGCTCAGTGTGGTGTGGCACAGGAGCTTCAGGGCCATGGCAGAAGGGACAGTCTGGGGACAACTGTCCCAAGGGTGATGAGGCACTGAGGGCTCCTCCTGCCTGCAGCATTCCCAGCTCTGTTGGGTGTTTCCTGACCGAGCTTGGAGCGGGGCTTGGAGGATGATCTCCAGCTCTGCTGCTCCTCTCAATCCCAGGCAAAAAATTCCAGATTCCTCTCAGCCTGGGGAAGCACCATGTGTGGGCAAAAGGCTCTGGAACAACAAAACAAAGGCAATTCCCTGTGTCCTTCAGGGGATGAGCATTTTGGGGATGCCCGAGGGGTCCTTCCCTTGCCCGAGGAAGATGTGGGATTCAGCCAGGATTCAGTGGCCACGCTCCCACTCTTCTGCTGTTCCAAGCCTGGAACACTGCTCCAGGACCTTCTCCTGCTCCTGAGGGGGATCCATTCTCAGGGAGATCCATCCCCAGGGAGATCCATCCCCAGGGGGGATCCATCCCCAAGGAGATCCATTCCCAGGGGGATCCATCCCCAAGGAGATCCATCCCCAAGGAGATCCATCCCAAGGAGATCCATCCCAAGGAGATCCATTCCCAAGGAGATCCATCCCAAGGAGATCCATCTCCAAGGAGATCCATCTCCAAGGAGATCCATCCCCAGGGAGATCCATCCCCAGGGAGATCCATCCCCAGGGAGATCCATTCCCAGGGGATCCCCAGGGACTGCACCCTCCGGGGCCGGTGGGATCCTCGGCTTTGCCCCTCCCTGTCACAGGGACCCCCATCCCGGCCCAGGAGGGAATCCCTGCCGTTCCCTGGGTTTGGTTTTCCCTGAGCTGCTGCCCCATCCTGGCTCTTTGTCCATCTGCACATCCCTCTCCACTCCAGACATCCCCAAACCCCTCGGGTTCCTCACCCGAGCTCCCCGCAGAGCTTCACCCCAGGCTGGATTCGCGTCAGGAATGTGCAGGGAAAACGGCTCCATCCCCCCGGGAAATAATAAAGTCATTTATACATATATATATATATGTTATATATAGAGAGAGAAATAAAATCCCTTGCTGGTCCCAGCTCTGTTTTGTGTGAGGGAGTGGGAGCTGGAAGTGGAAACCATCGGGATCCCAGAGCCTGGGATGGATTTGTTGTTTTCCGAGGCTCAGGGAATGATCCTGACTCCAGATCTCACAAAAGCCAAACACAAATATCCACCCACGTGCAATCCCAGTGCCCCTGGGTCACACACGTGTTTTACAGGCATGTGAATAGATTTAGAGATTTAAATTAGATTTAAATTCGATATTTAGATTTAAATTCGATATTTAGATTTAAATTCGATATTAATACTAAAAAATACATTAATACAACATATTAATATTAGTTATAAATAGTATATATTTTATATAGATCTGTGTGGATTATATTTTATTATAGATACCATATATTAATATAAATACCAGTTTATGTTGCATGAATTTTAAAATATTAATTATGGAATATTTTTATTCTGTATATTTTTGGATATTTTTCTATCCCAGGAAACATTTAAGGCCAGGCTGGGCAGGGCTCAGAGCAAGCTGGGATAGTGGAGGGGGGGAGAGGGAGATGAGCTTTAAACCATTCCATTATTCT